GCAAAACTGGAGGAATTAAAAACTTGGTCCTCAGGAAAATGGAATACATGCTCCCTTTTTGGAAACTGTCAGGATTACCAGAATTTATATATCTCTTCTATAGAGGTACTTTCCCTAACTTAGTAAATAGTTGCTGAATTTCATAGAAATCTATTCACAGCATATTGAATATAGTCCTCTACATTTCGAAATCGGATAACTTTCCTGGCATGGTTTCTGTTTTGGTACATATATTATTTATCTAGAAGAATACAATGCCTTTCACTTGAAATATGTATTTAGGTGCTTTTAAAGGAAGTCTATTTTTAACCTTAAAACTGTTAAAATTTACACTTTTTACTTGCTGACATTATTAAATGCATTTTACCTGATAGCAAATCTTGCGATAAGGCAATAATTATTTGAAGTTCACTGCCTTAATAACCATTGGTTTTTGAAGGCATTTAATTCCCAATGTCCAAAACTACCTTATAAAACTCTCAAAACCATAAAGAAAATAATTTATGTAGAAGTATTTTGTGTTCAAAAAGGTTACATGTGAAGCTTAGAGAAAATTATTTACAATTCTGTTTGTTCAAATATCTGCAAACATATGTTTGTGTTGAATCTTTAATTTTACTGAGAAGTGAACATTTGTAATAACTTTTAAAACAAATATAAATGTAATGGCTATCTAATATCAATTTTTATTTTAAAAATATTGGAAGTTACTACTACACATAATAGAAGAATGTCCTTTTTAACTCTGATTTTACAAGTTAAAAATATGACAATGCCTGCATTATTTTTCCTTTTGGGATTAAAGTCACCTGTTATATAGACAAGTTTTATTTATGTTGTCCTCCTATAATAAAAGTGGAATTACTGAATAGAATATTAGTGTGAACACTCATACTATTTCTACTGTCATTTTCATGAAGACCAACCTCCCCCACTGATATTGGAGTTATACAAATACTGAAACAATAATTCAATCCCATGTTTCTGGGTTCTTAGTTGAGCCAAAGGACCATGTATGACTGAACCATGTCTATTCATAACATAAGGTGAACTGCTTATTAGCATTTTAGAGAGTGGTTCAAATTCTACCATCTAAAATATGTAACATGTGAATTGTCAAAAAAAATTACCATGATATTACTTGGGTTGGGTTATTTGACTCATCAATTTTAATTTGGAAATTAAGAAGAAAAATATTTTAAAAGAGGGCCCTCTGAAGACATTTCTTTCTTAGAAAGGTCATTTTATGCATTTACAGGGGCTATTTTGCTCTGAGCTACTAAAATGTATACCTATATGATACTATTTTTCTAGGACAGGGAGGCTTGGTTTATTTGAAGGGTCATAAAAAACACACGCACATAAAATTCAGCTGCTCATCTATTGTCTATCTTCTGCTCTTTCAAGAATTATATATAGACAAAAAGTGTGCTTTTGTTGTTGTTTCAAACAAATACATCCATGTAGTACTGCCTTAAACATGAAAATTTTGAAAAAAATCACCTTACATCCCCCATAAAAAAGCAAAAGAAATTATGTGTTACGCTCAAAGATCACGAGTTACATACTAAATTGGCTTCCAAATAGCATATATTCTAAATACTACATTGTTTGCTAAAACTTGTAAAATTCAAGAAAAACTATTTCCTTAATGAAGCACTTAAGAGTAAAACACTGAAATCCCAACAGGTTTGCTACTTTCAGTTATATGTGCTGAAGAAATATTCATTAAATGGAGCAGTGGCTCAGCAACACAATTTCCAAATGCTTATTACATAAATTTTAACATTATAACTTACAGAATATAACCACCAAATGGAGAGCACAACTAAAAACAAAACATTAAATGCATTTTATTTTACAAATGGCAAAGGAAATAAATCCCAGATTAGGTTACAATGTTGGGCTTGATACCTTATCAAAATGGCCTTCATGAAAATATTTACTCAATGGTAGTTCTACATATCTCTCAATCCTGTTTTAATGTTAATTTACAATGTAAATTATATTTTTGAAAATCTTCAATGAGTGAGACAGATGCACTCTTAAATCAATGGAATTTTGAAAAGTATTGGAAACTTTAAAACTTCAACAATGTTCTCAATTATATACTTTAACTTCCCATATTTTTAAAGTTGAACGACTACTTCCAGGTAATAGATGCACTGAATAAAAAGGATTTTTAATTGTATCTGAGGCATTTTTCATCTTTTTATCAATGCATAACCTGTGACTTTAAAGACAAAGTTTAAACTCTTTAACTTGAATGTGTTTTAATAGATCTTTGCTGATGTAAGAAGATGGAATTTGGGCACAGAAGGCTTTCCCAGTTTTGAGGGGAAGTTGACAGTTCTAGCTCTGATATTTTTGTCTTGAATTTAGCTGGGTTTTCTCTAAATTAAATCAACTAGTTAATCCTTCTCTTTCAATTTTGTTCAACTAAACTGGGCATGAGTCACTATTAGAAGAATATATAAAATTTTAAAAGTTATAAATACCCTACTTGTAGAGCTTTGATAATGTGTGGATATTTTTGAAATACAAGAATATTCTGGTTTAAAAAATATGTACCTGCAGCTGACAAAATTTGTCTCACAGATATGAATGTTAGAATTATATTAAAAATTGCTTTCTTTTTTGGTTTTAGTTAGGTTCCTGAAAAAGAAAAACGTCCTAAACCAAGACTCAGTATTGCATTTGTACAAAATAAAATGACTACATATTAAACAGGCAAAGATAATACTGTTTCTCTCTGGTAATGGGATATCACATGCTTTAGAGTAGGGTTTTTGAAAACTAACTTCTATTAACTCCTTTTGGCAAAGCAGCTAGCATTCATTAATTTATAGAAAAACTTTTCCATTTACTACCCTAATGAGGAGAATGAAATAATACTCCTTCTCAAGGGAACTAGCCTAATCCTGGAGAGATATTCATACACTATTGAAAACTGGTATTTTTCTGGTTAGTTGGGAGCAAAGTACTAGCTTGGTAATGGTATCTATAGAAAGAAAGCCATGAAAAATAAAGCTACAGCTTTTTCTTCAGTGATACCATCCCCATTCAAGAAGTTTAAATTCGTTCTCTTGAGAAAGTCATAGATAGCAGTTCTGAGAGCTTTCCTTTCACAAGGGAAATACATGCTTAAAATGTTAGGAGAATGTATCTAGCTTTCAGGCCATTCTTCCATCAGGACTTAAAGCTTCAGGAGAATACCATAAATATTTCGCTTTTTAGGAAAGAAGGAGTTTAAATTCTCAATGGGATCAAAGAAAGTTATGGGAGCACATGGGGTATGAGATATTCCAAATAGCTTCAGAATTCTGCTACTCAGTATCAAATGCTACTCTGGAAAATATTGAACCCATACCCATGACATCACAATAATAGTCCTTTCATTTCTAAATATTTTATTGTATTTATAAATTATTTATTTGTCAAGAAAGTGGTAAGTCCATAGTGTTTTAAAGCTTCAGGGTTCTGTGATATATAATTCTTTAAAAATATACTGATGGCCACTCGTGCTGTGGTATAACACATCTCAAAAATATTGGTTATTTGAAAATGCCATATTTGGTGTACTTCTGTCCAATATTGTAGTACAGTGAAGACAGGTTAAGCACAGTCTATAACTGGCAAATTATCAGGATACAACTGTCAGGTCACGTTGTGATAAAAAATATGTGATGGTCAATAAAAACTGAAATGGAAACTCAGAAAAAATCATAACCAAGTGGAAATATTGAAGTTTTCCAATGGCCTGATCCATATTAATTCAAGACAGCTCCCCTTCTGACACTTCAGATAATATTGGTCATGGATTATTTTCATTATGGGAAGAAAATACATTTTTAATCCCACTGGTAGATTTTTCTAGCAGCATACTTGATGTAGTAAGTATATATTTAGATATATTGTAAATATACACAGTTGTTGAATAAATTATAGTGTTATGCAAAAATTCACACAAGGAGGCACTTGAGTGGCATGTTAGAAAATGATCTTTGGTAAAGGCAAAATGAAAAACCTGTTTCATTTAGTTACAATGAAAATATATTAACTTACTGAAATGGAATGTTTCTCAACATAAAAGATGTTTTTCAAATAGGCCACAAAATGGTAAATGCTATGGCTATAAACCTCTGCCTGTTTTTTCCTGTTTGCCATTTACAGTCTCTTTGTAGTAGTAAATGATGATAGAAAGCTTTCACATTCAGAGCTGGTCATTTTCATTTGTTTTAACTTATTTTGAGGGGCAAAAAACCCGGTATCTGATCTCAGTAGTAGTTGCACAGCTGCATGGTATTGTTATTCAAATCCACAAATTAACTAAATGTTTTATTATGTAGATGACAAATTACTAATGTCCAGGGCTTTCCAGAACCATTTTTTTCCAGCATTCCTTTAAACTATAGAAGGATTTTTGTATCCGACCCAATTTAATTGTCAAAAATTGCTTGAAAAGTCCAGGGTTTTAATGTCTTCTGAATCTGTTGCTTTTGAAATTAGGCATTTCTGTTAAGTACTGAAAATGTATTGATGATATTATTCAATAGAAAAAATAACTAAATGTAACAAAGGAACTGACTGAATATAAAAAATTTGGTACGTCACTGTACATCGTAATTTTAAAACATGAATCTGTCCTTTTATATTTTAGTCAAAGATGCAGGCATCTCTGATATGCTTGTCACAGTAAATTTGAAAGTCACAAGTAGTCAAAAGATTTGAAAATCATTTCAAGAGGAATACAACATTTGAAAGTTATTATAGCTAGTCAACATTTGAAAAACATTTAAAGTGGTTGGTTTATAGATATTGTATTTAATATGATGGCTTAATTGATAAAAAATTATTGGTAACTGCTATTCCATCAACTGTAATTGAAAATAATTGGTAACTTTACAAAAATAAGAATAGATCTTGAATTTTATATTTGGAAACTTGCTTTTAAGTGGTGTTTAATTAAAGCAAAGTTTCTATTGTTGCATGTGTATTTTTTAACCCATACCATTTGACCCATGAAAGTGCAGTGGGTAGTATGGCTGGAAGATAATGGGGGGTGGCTCAGATGTTACATAAGTAGGGTACCCTGCCTCAGCCACAAAGTACGGAGCAGGCTGATAAAAGCAAGTTACCTTTTCTGTATTAGGTAGAATATTCAGTTCTCCAAGTACTTTCAAAGCCATCATGGTGATCAGGTGGAGAATCTGTCTTCTTTCATGACTCATGAGACAAACGGTGCTTTCATTCACAACTCCACGCAAGGTCATAAGGTAGTCATACTTGGTCATTCCTTCACCTATGAAATGGTTGTGGAGGTATGATTCAATTTTCTTTTGTTGTTCTTCTATATGAGGAAAATCAATAAAGAATCTAGAGCACATGTAACGTTCTAGGTTTTTGATTTCTGACATACAGGCTGGTTTGAAGCCATGAACCAGCAAGTTGCAGTACTTCAGAAGGCCACCACCTCTAATCTCTTCAGGTTTCCTGGTAGATATGAGCTTGTGTTGCAAATGCGTCATTGCTTCCTGGAAGTCTCCATACATGCTTTCAGCTACCACAACAGGATAGGACTCTTTGGTTAGCTTGGCATTTTTGTCACTGTAGAAGTCTAACATGGGATCCAAAACAATTTGAAAGGAATCTACACTAAATTCAAACTGCCGTCTGAGTGAACTCACAAATTTTAGTTCTAAATTCTTTCCAGTGTTATTTGAAAGGGAGATAAGACTCCAACAATCATGTCCATTGCAAACCTTGACGAATTTCTGTACGTAAGCCTCTTTCATGATATCTGGGGAGATCTTTTCCTTCTTTACACCTTTTGGTAAAAAGTCAAGTAGACAACCTAGAACTGCATCCTTAACAACCTGAAATTCTTCGTTACTTGGAAGCTCAACACCAAAAATAATGTCCAGATCCTTATAGCTGATTCCATTATGGCTTGCAAGTATGTAACTTGCTATGGAACCATTCAATCTGGCATCTTTAACAATAATTCCTTGCCCTATGAGTTGATCTTTCACAACATGAATGATGTCTTTTGGTTTTACCTCCATTGTGGGGAAATTCCCCTTTCCATGAATTGGAATTACTTCATCTAACACTTGATCCAGTGTTATAACTTGATCCCAAGTGAGATTGGTGAATCTGATTTCAGACATTGTGAAGTCAGTAGATCACTAGACAGCAAGCAAAATATTGGGAAGAAATATGTTAGCACCTTAAAATCAATGCTAAAGCATATAAAAAAGTTAAAAATAGACTCACCCTCAACATAAATCATGATAATACTAGGAAGGAAACTACCAATATATTTAATCATATTTAAATATAAAAGTGAAATAAAAGCCACAATTATTATGTCAAAGATGTTAGATACATTGATGAATGCAAACAGATTTCTCAGGAATTTGCTGGAGTGACTGTTGATACAAAATGGTGGCCTTTTTCAATCTTTCTTCATGTAAATCCTATGATGATGGTATTTCTTTGGAGATATAAATTTTGTTCATGGGATAACCATGATGTATCATTGAGATTAATTATCATGATTTTAAAGTGAGATCAGGTAACATGTCTCTGTGTTAGAACCAATGGACTCAATAGCATAGTGTTTACAAACAATATACATAATCTTCAATCCCATAAGCATCAGATCACTCTCTCATATACTTTTCAGTTTCATACATATAACTACTCTTACTTTAAACAATATTACTGAAGTCTTCTGTTAGAGTATGAGCTCCTTTAATTCCTTAATAAGGAAAGTACCAAATTTAACACCTCTTCTATGTGCCCAGTAGCCCTTTAAAAAATGTTAGTTGAAGGAATGTCAATTTAAAATGAAAAACAGATGAGATTACTAAATTTGTACCTGAAATGAGAATAAGAATATATAAACCCATAAGATTCCTAAGCTTTAAAAAATGTTCACTGTAGATTTGCAATATAATATGCTCAGATAATTTTATAGTTTAGGGAATTTTAGGAAGTTAACATTTTATAATGTATAGTAACACTATAAATGCAAGTAGATATAATCATGTAATTATGTACAATCACAGTGATTACATGGATCTTCAAGTACATTAATAAGCTGTCTAAACAAATAAATCTAGGAAAGTAAGTAACATTCAGCACGGATATAGTTTTGGGGTTAGGCATTTGTTCCTGACTTCCAGAAATAAAAAACAATAGGAAGCTTAAGATAGATTTGTGTAGAAAGTATTCATATTTCACCTATCTAAGGAGCTATCAAAACAGAATATAAATATTTGAAATTTAGTATTATGTACTTCCCTAGTAGAACTACAGTAAACGGAATCATCTTATTTGACATCTACATGGACTAGTTTGATAGTACATGCATTTTGCAAAAGGCCAATTAAGCAACAGCATATCTGTGTTAGTGAGAAGGAAAAATTAAACCTATTCTGTTTCTCTGTATGAAATCCTTAGAAATACGAACTACAGACTGAATATTTATTTTTATTATATGATGAAATGACCCATGAAATAGGATGCTTGTTTTAAGCCACTTTAATGACTGTCTATACAGTTTTATCAGCCACGTGAATATCCAAATCAATCCTTAAAGACGGATGGATCAAACTGACTACATATCAGGCTTTCAGAATTTGATAACTTATCTATCCAATGAAATGATCTATATAGCATCTTTAGGACACTGGAAAGAGCAAGATGCTACATGAAGTGATACAACATGCAATGAGAACTGGTAATCTTATTTTCTAATTCCTTCTCCTGAAATTATCACTGAATTATTACAAGCTAACAGTTTGTTATACTCAAATTCTCAATCTAGAAAAAAATAGTTCATAATACTGGATGGCTTCATGTAAAGGTTTTAGGAAGAAAAACAATTTACCTAATACACATTTTTAAAATATCACATATAAACTATAAGATTTTAATTGATCATACAGCAAAAGTTCTAAAATTCCTTCTTCATGTGCAAATTTGTTTTGCAAATATACATTTTCCTTTCCTTAATGGCAAATTTCCATTGTCAATATCAGTAAAAATTTAAAAAAATTCAATGTTCTAATCCTAGGCCTACAGTCTTCATGTAAATCATCTATGATCTGAAAATAAAGGAAAACACTTATGTTGCTATATTGACATTACTGAAATTACCAAATTCTTTCCCAAACAAAAGTTGACAGGACCTTTATATACAAATAAAACCATTCAGAGACATAACTAAAATAAATCATTGCCAAAATGCAGAATTCCTTGATCAAAAGATATCCTTCAAACCAAGAAATACGAAGCCCTACTTAACATCTTGGATCTGTTCCTAGATACCAGAGAAGGGAGAAGATAGGATTTTGTTTCCCAAACAGAATCACAGTAAGATCTTGCAAAGATAAGAAAGTGGCCCAAAATTCAACCTCACTTTACACCAGGAAAGTGGTGTAGAAAAACTGTCCATCAGTGTGCAACTTTCCAATAGCCACTTAGTTATCTATGCTAGTGATTTCCAAACGTTCTAGTCTTTTCAATTATCTACAAGCTTTAAAAGCACACATATAAAATAGTTAAGGCCTAGCATTTCTTAATAATTACAGAAACAGTGAAGACAACTTGCTAGGATGTGGAGAAATGGTGTCCTTGCATGAGCAACACATTTTTCAACTGTCTAAATCAAGGCTTTAATAATCAGTTAGTTTTTTTTAACTTTTCTCTAGCCATAAATATGAAAGCTTGTTTTTAAAATCAAGTCTATTTTATTGACATATCATTACTAACTGACAAATTCTGAGTTACCATATCACTAACTACCTTTACTGTTATATAAGAAAATGAAAATTATAAATTTTTTAAATTAGCCCTAGAAAAAAGTATAATTATGATAAAAATTTGTGATACATATACACTCAAACATACATATACATATAGACATATATAAGCACAAAATATAATAAAATACATGTCACAATGGAGTAAATATAAGTGATTTGTACTGATCTGGAATCTATACATGCCTCCAACAAGGCTGACCTCTATTAACATGAATAATCAAGATTTGACAATAATGTTATGCTCCGTTTGGCACAGCTACTGTTCATTTTCACATAATGTACAATATCAATGTGTTATTAGTACAAATTTCAAATATGGCATTAAAGTAATAGGACTTATCTTAATGTGTAGATTATGGCTCCATATTTAATCACATATAGTAGAGTCAATCACCCATGTATCAAAAACAGCACATTAGAAAACTTGTTGGGAAACTTAATTTGAATTTTCTCAATCAAAAGTATGGCTAAATAGAAACTTTGGATGAATGTCATGGTAAAGGTGGAAAAACTGCAACAAAGCCACCCACATTGCTTATAATACTGTCTTGAATACAATCCAACTCTTAGTTACTGAAAGTGTGTTTACTGAGTATGAATTATAAAGCTACATTTTCATGAGTTAAAATTCCAAATTCAAGGTAGAAACTCTTCAATAACTTTCCACATAAACCTCAACAGAAGCACAAAACATGAAATTTCTAATTATCGTTTTCAAAATGTGGAGATCAGCAGTTCACATTGCAGAATATTTAAAACTTCTTTTGGCTCCCTGTCTTCTCCCAATTTACTTATCCTTTAAGCTAACATTTTTCCCATCTAGCCTAACCTATTAGTATGCCTGTAATGTATCTGACTATAGTAAATGCCCAAATCAATACATTGTGGTTTCCATTATTCAACTGGTTAAATTCATCTGGGAATGCAAAGCAAAGCAAGCAATTTGCCAAGATATCACAAAAGACTGTGAATGGATATTTGTATAACAAATAAAATGTAATTGTTCTCCCTATTACAACCCTATGTTCCCTCTGACCATGGGAAAAATAGGAAGTTAGCCACTCTTTACCTGTCTATATTAATCTTAGAACTATATTTTCAAAGAGAATGAGAAAAGATGTCATACTTACATTGAAAGGATTACTTTCAAGAATGCAATATAGTTGAGTTAAAATGATTATTCAGATCCTTCAGTGAAGATAGGAATTTTCGTATTATCACTGAATAAAGTCATAAACCAATCAGAAAAACTGCAAGATAATACAAGCAAAAATAAAGTTAATAGATATTATATACAAAAAATATAATGATGTCCCACAGCCAAGTCCTGCAAATTATATATATACATACATACATGCATACACACACACATACATATACACAGAAGAAATGATAAAATGATTGCTCTAAAATAGTGGTTGTCAAATTTTAACATGCCTAATGCATGTTAAAATTTGACAACCACTATTTTAGAGCAATCATTTTATCTGTGTGTAAATACACAGATTTCTGGGTCCCACCTCTAGAGTTTCTAATTTAGCAGGTCAGATGTGGGGCCAGAATATCTGCATTTCTAATAACTTCCAAGATGATGCTGATGCTACTGGTCAGGGAATGACACATTAAGAACTGCTACACTAAAGAAAACTGAGAAGAAATGGTAAAGGAAAAGTAGTCTCAATAGCAGTGCCTAGTCCCTCATATTTTGGCTATTTCTACTAAATTTAAAACATTACATTAAATAATACAGAAAATTCTAATCAAAGTGAATGCGCTTTTAAACCATAAACTTTTGAAAACATTTTAACAGTGCAATATTGTTTTGTGAGCTGGACATTAAGGCTAGTAGAAAGTCTTTCTAAAGCTTGTACGTATTGTGGTCCTAAATCTAATTAGTTCTCTTACCTATAATAAATGATTGTATACAAAAATGAATTCTTGTACTTTAGAAACTTTCAAGTTATATATCCATATATACCTACCTATAGACAAACAACAAGATTTTGGTCAGAATGTATTATATTTCACCAGTATAAAGAAGTATTAAACATGATTTGACTATGGGAAAGAGGTATTAGATATTTTATTTGACATATTGCATTTGTTTCCAAGAGAAGATATTAATGTCTGTGAGAAATAATGGTTCAGTATTTAATTAAACAATTATTTACTCATAATCAACCATTATCCCTTTAAAATACAGATACCTATTTCAGAAAAAATAGTATTTTCTTATATCAAGAAGAAAAGATGATACATATCAAATAATATCAATTTGATGTTTCCATGCTGTGTTCAATAAGATTGTAGAATACCCTGAATAGTATACTGCAATAAAAAAACTATAAAATAAAGTGTTAATCATCTCACAGAAGTCTCTTGCATTGTTTTCACTCTGTCAAAAGTAAAACTTATATTATTACTTTAACCTAAAAGAAAACTACCATTGGTATTTTACTCATTCAATACTGAAAGGAACAACAGTAAATAAAATACTGATTTTGATACTTGTGAACCAATAAGCCAGGTAAGGTCAGACAGAGCCCTCACCCAGTCATTAACTTTGTGTCTGGCTCCATGATGAAAAATGTAAGATGTCTACTGTTTTGTCATTTTGCTCTTCAAAAATAAAGTTGTGATATCAGTTAACTAGTTGGATGCTCAAATCATATACTTTTAATAATTGTTGGGAAATACAGAGGGAGCTGTAAAAGGAATAAAGCATTAAAATAGCTATGTAGCAATAAGAGAAACCCTTTTAACCAAATTATCTTAACAGTGAAATTTGATTTTCTTTTCAACTATCAACACTGCAGATATCTTTTGTGCTTGTTTATTGTGCTAATCCAAAGCAAAAGGATACCAAAGATAGTAAAAGGCAAAGCAAGTGAGTTGTTTTAAATGGTTCAAAAGTGATCTCTGTACCAACAGAGAGCTCTAGAGCTTTAATTGCCTAATTATAGAGAAAGCTAATTAAAAGCAGAAATGTGTTTCCAATAGTCCTTATTGTATCAATAAGAATGAGACTGATAAAGAAAATGTGGCACATATACACCATGGAATACGATGCAGCCATTAAAAAGGATGAGTTCATGTCCTTTGCAGTGACATGGATGAAGCTGGAGACCATCATTCTCAGCAAACTAACACAGGAACAGGAAAACCAAACAACGCAGGTTCTCACTCATAAGTGGGAGTTGAACAATGAGAACACATGGACACAGGAAGGGGAACATCATACACTGGGACCTATTGGGGGGTGGGGGGCTAGGGGAGGAATAGCATTAGGAGAAATACCTAATGTAGATTACGGTTTGATGGGTGCAGCAAACCACCATGGCATGTGTATACCTATGTAACAAACCTGCACGTCCTGCACATGTATCCCAGAACTTAAATTATAATAATAATAAAAAAGAATGAGATTGAAAACAAATGTACTTTTAATATACTTTGCCTTGAAAAAGTCATTGATATTTTGCAGTTTTCTCTATACATCAAAGATTTCTCTAATTTTTCCAGATATCTTGAATCTACAATAATTGTACATATTTTCTTTTCTGAATGTCTACTATATTTAGTAGACATTCAGATATTCTATTTAATAGATACCCATATAACTTTGAAGTAATTCTTAGAATAGCCACCAAATTAGAATATATGCCCCTTTAAAGGGAGATATTATTCCATAGAATAATTTAGATTATAGGCTATGGAAAACTAGCAGTAGGGTGTAAAAAAATAGAGGTACATATACTTAAAGTTGACCCCATGTTGTCCACCCCATCTTTAAATTAAGATTCCTAGTTGCAACACCTTAAGGCAGATACTTTATCTATGGTTGTAACACTAATTTATTCCTGTAATAGCTAAGGCTTTAAAATGTGTTTAAAATAAAATGGAAATTAAGAAGTTGAAAAGAGCCAGTTTTTATTTTCAATTAGGTTCATTAGTTTTTTGTTCCACTAACATCTGGATAAGTTTTGCTTACAAAAGAAAGAACTAAATCTGTGTTTAGAGTCCAATTGTAGATTCAAAATATTTAAAGGAACTTTGTTCTCAATAAAAGATAGCATTAACATTAAGCTCTGTAGACAATATATGAAGATCCTTTTATAAATACCATAATCAGAATATGTTCATCAGTTGTTCTAAATAGACAGCTACTTTATCATCTGTTCAAAATATATATCTTGAGTAAAATTTGTTGATTGATTTTAATAATATGTTAGTCTGTCCCTCTTTGAGGACTTCTGTATTAATGCATTACATTAAAAATAATTATAAAGCAATCTTGAAACATATTTCAGGTTAAAATCTGGCAAAGGATGGAAGTTTTAAATCAAAAAGTATAACAATTTAAATGAAAAACTGTTTTACATGTTTCCAATGTTTTTATCTAGGTAAAAAGTATAATATTTAGTTTATCTCTGTATTGTTGAATTTGGAATTGTAATCTAGATGTGTGATATTGTAATAGCCAAACACAACAAATTTAAATAAGTATGAGGAAGTCATAGTAAGACTAAGCTATTTGCATGCATATATTAAACTTTTATTATTGTGTAATTATAATTTTTATATGATTGACCACAATACTTGAATTGCACAAGAATACTTACATCACAAAATACTGTATCATTTATGCTATAATACATTGTGGATGTTAACACTGTTGATGTGCTGAGTCTATAGCATTCAAAGTTTCAGAACGGAGTTCCCAATAACTGTTCACTTATATAGTATTAGTCATTTTCAAATTTCATTCCAAAAAATGACTCACATTACTATAGATAATGCTAAAACAACTCCAATTTGGGTCAATTCACAAACTTATTTTAGTTGCAATAAGGTTCATATACCAAAACAATACTTGCAAAAATTCACTTGTCCAGGACTCTACTAACGAATGTGTTCATTTCCAAAATTCATAGCCACTCACAAACGTACCTCAGATAATTGTGAAGCTTGAAAAAGAGATGTTTATTTTTAATTCTTAATTAAAAATGTCTTTAATTATATTTAAAATGAAGTTATTTCACACACTTTTAACTACTATATATGGGGTAATGCTCGGAGATGTATGTAGGCAATGTTTTTCAGGGTTGACCCATGCTAGGAGGAGGAGAGCTTCAATTTATCTTGTACCAAAAGATGATGGGAGTGTTAAAGATTTTAGTTTCTATTCAGACCTATGAGAAGGCAGGCATATACTTTCCATGTTAGTGCTATTTATATCCTGCTCTGTCATTTCTTTTTAACTTTATGATCATCTCTTTTAAAATACTATGCTTAGCTCCATTTCCCTTCTTTTGTTTGTTTGTTTGTTTTGTTTTTTGAGACAGAGTCTTACTCCATTGCCCAGGCTGGAGTGCAGTGGCACGATATCGGCTCACTGCAACCTCCACCTCCTAGGTTCAAGAGATTCTCCTGCCTCAGCCTCCTGGGTAGCTGGGATTACAGGTGCCTGCCATCATGCCTGGCTAGCTTTTTTATTTTTAGTAGAGATGGGGTTTCACCATGTTGGCCAGGCTGATCTCAAACTCCTGACCTCAAGTGATCCATCTGCCTCAGCCTCCCAAAGTGCTGTGATTAGAGGCATGAGCCACCATGCCTGGCCTCCATTTCCCATTTTAAGAGTCAAAGTGTTCTTACTGACAGAGATTTACACAAATTCCAAGTTTCCTGTCATTTGATGTATAGAGAAATAACTTCTTGAAATTCTTACATGTAGGTGGAACCATACTACAAGATCCTTGACTTAAGAGGCTTAGGTGAAAGATTCATTGGAATAATTAAAATAAACATGCTAGGCATCTATAAACATGAAGAGAAAATAGCATACAGGTCCCAAAAAGGAACAGTTCTCAATTTAAGAGCTTGGTGCGCAGAAGCTTTCCCCAGGCTAAACTTCTGCCCCTAATCCCAGAGAAATCTTACCACATTCTTCTCACTCTGCCCTAACCCAGATAAATACAATTCTTGCTGTGTTCACTTGTTTGTATTGCTATGGCTGTTATCTATTGCTTCTAAGGATAAAAGTGTACACTGTTATAAGTAAATGATTGCCTGGTTTCTTTCAGGTTTAGCACCATTCCCTTGTAGTGTGGCAGCAAGAGAGAAAAGTTAGGCAGTTAGGGTGGGTCCTTGGTAAAACTCCTTTAAGCAGAGAAACAGCCTGAAAAATCAGGCTGCAGGCACAGATAAGAAAACTTGCACAAACCTCTGGCCCACTCAGATAAACGAACAA